AATTGATCATCAAGATCTGCAGTGTAAAGCCAGATTTTTTTGTTTTGTTTACTGAAACGGTCCTCTATAAAATATGCTTTTGCATCTCCACAAACTATAAACCACTAAAGCCTAATTTTCTTTATTCTTTATATACCTTTGGGTGGTTTATGCTAATAATCCAAATTGTGACTTAGACATCTGCAGTAATATCTGGACTGGATTGATGTGTGTTTTTTAATATACAATAAATCTCTTTTGTAGCTTTAACAGATCTTATACATGAACCACAAGGATTAAACAGCATCAAATGGCCAGTTTTAATTAAATAATATAGTACTGTGAGGAAAATAAAAGCATCCTGTGTGTGTGTGTGTGTGTTTACAGAAGGTGTCCACGTGGGAATCGGATAGCACGGCAGAAACAAAACGTTCCACATTTCAACTCTGAAAACACCCTGCGGGCCTCCACCAGACTCATCTGACGAACCTTAAACTTCGAGTGACATGTGCTAAAAGACAGCAGAGAAAGGCCCCAGGGAATTGTGGGATCACACACCCCTCCAGACAGGTGATGCTGGGTGTGTTAAGAACAGAGGCAGGACTCCTGGCAGCGTGCTGATCGTCCCTTAAATCCCAACGGACGCAGGAAGGGGACGAGCCACACGGGACGGGCCTGCGGTGGTTTTTCCACCGGGCCTGCAGGCTTGAGTGAGACTCGGTGGGAAAGAGAACAGGCAGTCAGTTTCATCAAAATGTCAGGGTACTGCCAAAAACAGCTCTTCCCTGGGGTTACAACAGTCTGGAGAAGACGAGTGCTTGTGGACGGATGGATGGATGGATGGATTGATGAGTGGATGAATGACTAGAGGTGTGCCACATGTTGCCTTGTATTTGTTGTCATAGAAGAAACAAGCCTTCCGGGGCTCTCTTTGGTTATGTATTATATATTTCCAATAGGTTAACATACTTGTGATGTTTTTTTCTTTGGTTTTTATTCACTGTAATGTAAATAAATAATTTATATCATGTGATTGGTGCAACTGTGTGTATGTCTTGATTTCCAAGGTGCAAAAACAAAACAGGTTACACATTATAATAAGGTTTATTTGTTAAAATTCTATACAAATATTTTTGAATGGCTTTTATTAATATTTTTCTGAATTTTTATCTTTAAATGGAGAAGACAGTGGAGATACCAGACAGGAAACTGAGGGGAGCAGAAAGAGAGGAAGGATCGACAAAGGACCTTGAGCTGGAAATTGAACTCATGTGATATGTGTTGACTCACTTATCAATAGGTTATTGGTGTCAACAAATGGCTTGCGTTTCTACATTTCAAATAGTGGAAAATTAAACAAAAATGACCAAAGAGTTTTGATAGTTTTCCTATTTAAAGCTTGACTCTTCTGTAGTGAAGTGTATACTCAGACCGACATAATAATCAAGAATCTTTGTTGCTGTACCATGGCTGCAGCCGGTGCAATATTACACAACACATGAAAATAGTTCTGAATTGTCTTTCACAAATGTCCCCATGGTTGCAAGATTTTCAGGAGCACTGCACCTGCTGCAGCCATGGTACTGCAACAAAGTCCCTTGATTATTACGCCTGAATCTACACAATTCAGTCTAAAAAACTTCTAATTTTCAGTCTGTCTTAGTACACAACGTCACCACAGTGGAGCCAAGCTTTAAATTGAAAAATTATCATTTTTTGAACAAGATGCTAATGGTCTAATACGATTCAATCATCTATGCTAGGCTAACCTAAAAGTGCTGCCACCAGACCCAGAGATCGGCTGAATGGATTCAAAAACGGTCAAATTGAACTGTTTAACTCTAGGTGACTTGTAAAATGGAGAGGGAGGTGCACGACCAGGTGCAAGCTGGGCCTGCATGCAATGCTTTTAATGGGTACACCCAATCCTACCCCTAATTGTCCCTTTACAGTGACATCACAAATTCTAATGCTGTGTTAACACCAGACGTGGCATGCGCTAATAAATCGCGATATTCGCGTGTACATAGACAAGTGAACATTGAGTTTACTAGCTTCATTCGTGCGGGAAAATCAGTTCATTCGTGATGAAATTTACTTCACAACAGATGCAGATTTTTACTGTTGATTATCAGTTGGCACCATTAACCCTTTAGATAGGCCTTTGCAAAAAACGTTTCCAATTTAATATGCTTGCTATGTCAACTCTGTTCTGAGATCTGCTTATTTTTTATTTAATGCATTTCAAGGTAAGTGCGCAAAAGTCTCTCTCACACACACATGCTATGCTCCATATAAAAGCCAGAAACAAAGCTTTTTTTGCACTGCAACTAATAATCAACAGTAAAAATGACAAATTTACCTTTTGAAAACCAGCAACAATCAAGACCGCATGGTGTCATGACTTTGCAATCACTAAATGTCATTACAATGGAAGTCTATGGAACAAAAATAGCTAAAAACATTACGAAAGAGTAAATATGCCCAGAGTACCGTTCAATTTTTCCTATTTTTTTAAAAGTAAAAAAATCTGTGTCATAATAAGATTCATCACAAAAAATCATTCCGTTTTCTAAAACACAGAGAAAATTGTGACCAAATTAAGGCCCCGTTTACACTAATGCGTTTTAGTTTGAAAACGCATAAGTTTTGCGACGGTTACGCCAACCGTCCACACTACGCCGGAGTTCTCGAGCGCCGAAAACGGAGCGTTTCGAAAACGTTGGAAAGGCCGTTTTCATTCTGAAACGCTGCTGCTCCGTCTCAGTGTGGATGATGGAAAACGGAGACATCTGAAAACGGAGGCGGGGCTGCTGACATTCGCCTCTCTGATTGGGGCTTTTCCTGAATATTAAGTAGCCCACACACAGTTCAGTCCTGCATTTTCTACGTGTAAGTTCAGACTTCGCATGTTTGATCAAGGCTGCAGTCTCTTCTTCTCAGTTTGATATGAACAGACTATACCGAGGACACGGGTAAATCTTCAAAGGGAACAGTGTACTTTATAACTTCATTCACATCACCTTGGCTACGTTGTTTCACTTTCTCAACAATAAATTGTATACATGATTTAAGGAACTGCCTATTTTTATTTTAATATTAACAACTAAACAGACAGCAGAAATGTTGAGGCGTCGTGCTGCATATATGAGCGTCATCTTCACTGTGTGGATATTTATAACAAAACGGAGCCGATAACAACTGCCTCCTTTCAATTTCAGTGAAAATACGAAACACACCCTCTCTTTTGCTGACTATCAGTTTTAATAATCGATAATGGCCATTATAAAAGTATAACATACAATAAGTTTTTACATTATAGGAAATAAAGGCAAGCGATCAGTCAATATACATAATAGGCTACGTGGTTTCATCAATCATTAACTTATCTTTGCGCTCAGCCAAAACACGTTACCTGAGAAAAAGTAAGATTCTAATGACCAAAGTCAGGGAACATGTCGTTAGATAAAGACAACAAGATAAATGAAATATCCCGTTTAATAAATATAGTGAGATATTAGATCCAGCGGTAGATGCTTGATGAGAAGTCCGACTAGCAGAGCTCTCATCTGGGTAAATGGGCTGCAGCGCTTGCCAGAGAGTGTCTGTGTGGTCACGTGATGTGCGTTTTCAGCGTTTTGGTGTGGACGGAGAGCAGTTCAGAAATGCTGGGTAAAACACGAGTGTGGACGCCGTTTTAAAACTAAAACGCACTAGTGTAAACGGGGCCTAAGACTCACAATCACCCCAAAGTGGATGAAAACCTTCCCAAGAGCAACACGTTTATAAAGAAAGCTGATCTAAAACTAGTAAATGACAAGGATCTCTTCAGCAAGTTTTCCTAAAACGTCCTTAATCTTCCTGCAGCACTCACAAATTAGTTTAACCTTCCACGCTTGAAGTTTTTTGTCACTTGTCAAAAATATCAATACAACAACAGATTTAGGAGCAGCCACTTCTCTGCTGATTAGCTTCAGGACTGAGATGCATCCTTTCTCGTCACCTTGTTTTCTCTTAGCACAATCTGACACAAGCAGGAAAGCAAAGTCTGTCTGTCTGCCTCCTTCGGCCCAAAGGGAGTTGTAGGCGGATGAAGCCCAGCAGCCGGTCGATGGCTGTGAGCCGCACCCATTACCCAGCAATCAATGCTGCCACAAGATCCGACAGCAGAGAGGCTGTCACAACCTCAGTCCGGCTCTCTCCTACGCCTCGGAGCTGTCAAATACAATCACCGCCAACAAGTACTGTGCGTGCGCGTATGTGTGTGTGCGTCGAACTGATACCAATACCCTCTGTGACCCAAGTTAGCTTGCGGAATCGGATCCAGCAGTCCTTGGGAGACAGAATGGCGTGAGTGTATGTGTGTGAGAGGAAGCTTGGATATATAAAACTACAAATGATGCATGAAAGGGAATATGTCAGAGTTTTAGGATTATTGTTATTCTCGTTGTTGTTGTTATGATCAATGACCACTGGATGGCAGTGTTGAATAAAGGGAGTGTCTCTTTCAAGTCATTTACGTATGAGACTTTATTATGCCACATCCAAAATAAACGTTTGTTTTGATATAATGAATAAATTTGGAATAAGTAAATACACACAGCAAACACACACACACACACACACACACACACACACATATATATATATATATATATATATATATATACACACACATATATATATATATATATATATATATATATATATATATATATATATACACACACACACACACACACACACACACACACACACACACACACATACATATATACACACACACACACACACACACATACATATATATATATATATATATATATGTAGCGCCACCTAGGTGTATTAAGTTTAAGATAGCGCTCCAGGTTCAATACACTAAACGCCTACAGATATGTTGAAGTAGGCCCCTCTGATATATTTCAATGACGTAATGTAAATAAGGCAGATGAGAATATAAATATTTGCTGTGTTTGAATAAATTACCAGAAATAAACTCTGTGAATAATAAAACTCTTAGATAAATCAGAAAATATAAATAATTTAATTAGAATAGAAATGTAAAAATTGGGAAAAACCCCAGATGTAAAACAAAATACAAAATATAGAATTTATGCACAGCTAAAAGACAATAAAATGACCCAAAGTCAAACCCAGCAATTTACAGTACAATGAAGAATATTAATTAAACCAATATAGAAAAATACCACCTTTCTACACTCTAACAATTAAACTTATAAATCAACAAGTGACTAAGAGTGACTGAATATGTTTCTCTTTGAAAGTGGCTACAATTGTGTCACTAAATTACACACTGAATTAAACCTATATAAACTATTAGTATAAATCTATACTGTAAAACACGCAGCAGTATTTTATGCTCACTGCATCTCCATAAACAACTCAATACTCTGTGGGCCCACACACTCACACATTCATACACCCCCGTTGCAGGCCTGTATCGCTGCTAGTGTACGTTGTGGCCGGGAAAATGAAAATGGCCTCTTCACTCTCCTGAGCACAAATAAAATTAAACAAGATACCTCAGATGAAGATGACCTTGATCCAGATGACAGCAAACCAGTTGACAGCGATCCAGATGACAGCAATCCAAATGACAGCGATCCAGATGACAGCAATATATGACAGTTCTCCAAACTGACAACACTTGTGAACAACGGGCCAACGAGCCGCGATCGATCGGCGAACTTCTGCCGCGGGTCTTTCAAATCCTCACTTTCACTTTTTCTCCCCAGCTGATGAGAGGCAAATCTCACGTAGTATTCAGGCTATTTGAGGTGCTATTTGCTCCTCTTTGACTCTTTCATCCTTGTTTCATACTAATCTAACAGTCTCTTTTTTCTCCTCCTTATTTTCGGTTTAACCGTCTCTCTCTCAGTTCAGCTTTAGTCCTCCGTAACTGTCAGTTGACAATCTAGGCATTTAAAAAATGCTCACTCACTCTGAACTGACTAATAACCGACACTGGAAACGTATATGATGAAAACACACCGCGAACTTAAAACAAACACAAAACAAACTCAAAGTAATCAAAAACGTGTTGTTCACACGCAATATAAATTACTATCTCTTGTTTTTATACTTCGTGAATGTTACGCAATCATAACAGCCGCGACGCGAGTCTCCCCTTCAGTTTCCAAAAACTGCCGGCTGTGTCTCCTCTCTACGCTCCCTCTTCCCAACAGCCAATCACATTTCACACTCCACCCCAGAGGGCGGGACTACACGCATATAAACCAATCATGTAGGAACACCTACCAAACTTGTTAACCCCATGTATTTCAGTGAAGGTTGATCAAACTTGCTATCTTATCATATTCTCAGAGATAGACGCTCATATATTACACATCAACATTAGGATGTATATACACAAATGAATGCAAAACACATTTTAGATTTAATTCTGTTCTAGAACCAATATGAATAAATAAATAAATAACCTTAAGATTACTTTAAAACTTAACTTGTAGAACTTCATTCTACTGGGTTACATGCTCCCCCTTCTAAACATCTCATGTCCTCATGAGATTACCTCATTAAACTTCAATAGTGATCTCAGGCTCAGCACAATTGCTTACTTGAACACAATGAGTACACCGTGCCATAGGGTGGCACCACACTGTATTACAAAACTTTGGTGAACTATCCCCACCTTGTACTTTTACAACCATTCCTCTGTGAACTAAGGTTAAAGACTTGTTAGTGGGTCTCCCCAGACAATCATAGCTCAATCGGTCTATAGGTCTTGTGTTTCTCTTAGGTCGCACATGAACATGCTCTACTACCTCTCTAGTAGTATTGGCTGTTCCAGGATCTCCCCCTTCTAGAGCAGCATCTTCAATTTCCTCAGGAGTCTGCTCCAATACTGCTTCGTGGCCCTGGTCAGTGACTGATGTGTCATCCATCTCTGCAGCGGGTCTTTCCAATTCATCCTGATTGTAAACTGCTCCCTCATTTATTGAAGATTCCTCCTGTGTTACATACTTTTGAGTTTCATCGACCCTATTCGGTTAGTAATACCACAAGTCATCCTCTTCACTGTCTGAGTCATTTCTCAATCCACTTCCTGTCATGTTCTGATTTATTTCCTTTAATCCTCTTCCATATTTTCTCCCCACAGATTCTGTCCTGATCTCTGTTGGAGCAGCTGTATTTTGAATTTTTCCTGAATCAGACAATCTCACATCATCCCCAACAGGTAAGAGATGGTCTCTGTGAAGAGTCCTCACACTTCCCATTCCAGATTCAGGTTTTAAACGATATACAGGTAAGTTATTCAGCTTTTCAACTATCAGGTAAGGAACAGAATTCCACTTGTCACCAAGTTTGTTCTTTCCAGTCATACCCAGATTTCTTGTCAGCACACGATCTCCTACAGCCAGTGTCTGATGTTTTATATGCTTGTCATACAATCGTTTGTTTCTCTTTTGACTTTTCTGTGCAGTTTCAGTTGCCAACTGATATGCTTGTTGTAACTCTGACTTCATTCTTTCTACATATTGTCGATGGCTACCAGCTCCTTTTCCATCAGGTGAAGTTCCAAAACACACATCCACTGGCAGACGAGCCTCTCTTCCAAATAGAAGATAGTACGGGGAATATCCAGTTGCATCATTCTTAGTACAGTTGTAAGCGTGCACTAATCGGTTGATGTGCTGACTCCATCTGTGTTTCTCCGTAGGATTCAGAGTACCGAGCATGGACAGCAGTGTTCGGTTGAATCTTTCTGGCTGAGGATCTCCTTGTGGATGATAGGGTGACGTTCTGGATTTTCTTATACCAAGCATGTTAAGCATTTCTTTTATGAGACCACTCTCAAAGTCTCTTCCCTGATCTGAGTGGATTCGGGTGGGTAAGCCATAGTGAACAAAAAATTTGTCGCACAGTACTTTGGCCACAGTTAGTGCTTTCTGATCTTTGGTTACAAATGCTTGTGCGTAGCGAGTGAAGTGGTCGGTTACAACCAGAACATTGCTTAGACCTCTGGAGTCAGGCTCAATAGATAAGAAGTTAATACATACTAAGTCAAATGGCCCATTGCTGGTTAGGTGGTTCAGTGGGGCAGCCTTCTTAGGTAATGTTTTTCTTGTTACACATCGCCCACAATTCTTAACATACTGCTCCACATAGCTAGACATTCGGGGCCAATAGAATCGATCTCTCAGTAGTTCAGTTGTTCTCTCTACCCCCAAATGACCAGAGTCATCATGCAAGGAGCGCAGTACATGGGACCAATACCTTGAGGGTAAGACAAGCTGTATATTTTCCTTTCTGCAGGAACTGTTGGTGACTCTGTACAGAAGTTTATTCTCAATTTTCAACTTGGGTCCCTGCCGCCGTAACAGAGCAATTGAATCATCTGAACTCCTAGTATCAGTAAGTACTTGTCCAGACTCCAATTCTCGCTTCACTATACCAATTACAGGATCTTCATCTTGAGCCTTACTTAACTCCTCATGGCTCAACTGTTCCATAGGACTGAAACTCAATGAAGTGGGACAAACAAATGCTTCTGGGATACTGTGAGGAGAGACACATAGATGATCCACTAGCCTGGAGGATGACTCATCACTTTCATTAATTCTTGCCAGCTGGCAAATAGCTTTTACTCCTGACTTTGAAATTTCCTTCCATTCTGTTGAGATAGCTGATTCAAAGGGGTAGCGTGACAATACATCAGCATCCGTGTTGTGACTCCCAGGCTTGTATTGTAAGCTAAAGTTGTATGTGGCTAAAGCAGCTAACCATCGGTGACCTGTTGCACTCAACTTGGCGCTGGACAGCACATAGGTAAGTGGATTGTTGTCTGTTTTCACCACAAACTGAGCACCATAAAGATAATCATGGAACTTGTCCACAACTGCCCATTTAAGCGCCAAGAACTCAAGCTGATGAATGGGGTAACGCTGCTCAGATGCACTCAGCTTTCGGCTTGCATAGGCTACTGGCCTAAGTCCACCAGGATGCTCTTGATTCAAAACAGCTCCCAGACCATTAAGGCTAGCATCCACATGAAGAACATAGGATTTGTTAGGGTCGGCGAAAGCAAGTACTGGGGCATGTGTAAGACAATAAATGATCTTGTGAAATGCTGCTGTACAGTTATCATCCCAACGCTCTCCAAAAGGCTCAGACGTTTTGTGATATTTCCTGACATCTGCGGTCTTTTTGTTTTGGCCAGAGGTTGGTGGGTACCCTTTAGTGAGTTCTGTTAATGGCCTTACAATGGCTGAGTAGTCTTTTATGAATCGTCGGTAAAATCCACAGAAACCAAGAAAGGATCTCAGTGATTTCAGATCAGTGGGCATTTTCCAGCGGGTTACCGCCTCAACTTTAGCTGGGTCTGGTGATACTCCAGCAGCTGACACAATGTGCCCCACATAACGTACTTGGGACTGACAAAACTGGCATTTATCAATTGAAACTTTGAGGCCACACTCTCTGAGTCGATCTAAAACTTTTAATAGTCTCTCTTCATGTTCTTCAAGAGTGCGCCCAAACACAATGATGTCATCCAGATAGACTATTACTTGAAGGAGATGCATGTCACCAACAGCTTTTTCCATTAGCCGTTGAAAAGTGGCTGGAGCTCCAGTAATCCCTTGAGGCATACGTTCAAACTGGAAAAATCCTAAAGGACAGATAAATGCTGTCTTTTCTTTGTCCTCCTCAGCCATAGCTATTTGATAATATCCACTGCGAAGATCTAGCACAGAGAACCACTTACTGCCAGCCAAACAGTCCAGAGCATCATCAATTCTGGGAGTAGTGTACTGATCGGGGATGGTGCGAGCATTTAGAGTTCTGTAATCGATGCACATCCTAACTGCTCCACTCTTTTTCCTTGCAATTACAATGGGCGATGCATACTGGCTTCTTGATTCTGTAATTATTCCAGCCTCTAAAAGTTCTTTGATATGGCGTCGCACATCCTCGATGTCTGCAGGAGCGATGCGTCTGGAGCGCTCTCTGAAAGGTTTGGTGTCTGTCAGTCTAATGTTATGTTCAACTCCTTGGGCTAATCCCACATCCCACTCATTGGTAGAAAAGACATCACTTCTGACTGCCAACTTCTGACGGAGTCGCATTTCCCATAACTCAGGAATGGATGACTCTTCAAATTTAAACAGGCTTGGGTCAATTACTTGAGAGCTTTTTTCCCCAGAACCAACAGTAAGTGTGTCAGTAAGGTACACATTGGCCATTATTGTACCCGATGGAATTGAAATGTCCTTTGAGGTTTCATTATGGACTAACACTTGCACACTGTTATCTTGAACGGTGGAAAAGGGAAGCACAAATGGAGTTATGAATGTACCAGCTGGAAGATTGTCCTCTTCAGGTGAGTCTACCACAAAAATTTCTTTTCTCAAGGGTTTTTCAGTCTCTATTTTACAGACAGCCAGTACTTCTCCTCTAGATGGAACTACACACTTTTCAGGTCCCATCCACCGTACTTTCCCCTCAGGCTGGTCGATTGAGGTATTTTTACATGTCTGCTGATTGAGATGGATTTCAGGAAGGTTAGTATGAATTCTCAAAGCTTGTGCAGTGCTGGATGCTTTTACATCATGACTGAGAGTAGCAAGGCGCTGGAAGAAACTGGCATTTGTTCCAATAATGACTGGTAACTGGGAGGGCCCTTGAGGTTCAGGACATACGAGAGCCAAGATGGACAGCGGCTCCTTTACTCCACTGACTGAGAACGGGAAAGTGACATCCACTACTATATATCCCTTATAAGGATAACTGGACGAACTGAGGCCCCATATGGATAATCCAGTCAAGGGGTGAATCGGTACATAATCTAAATTCTTAGAGTACCAACTCTCGAACACTATTGTCACTTGTGATCCACTGTCTAACAGGGCTTGACATAAATGTCCATTAATTGTCACTTCTACTGTGGATGCTGGTCCAACTAGGCCTTTAGGAATACTGCTGGCTTTGTTTATGTCTGTCTGACTCTTTTTAGAGAAACAAACTTGGTTCTGGGTTTTTCTGCTTTCATTAGCCTCGGACTTAAAACTCTTAGCTTGCCGCAAAGAACGAATTAGCTTCTGGATCACTTGGTCTGAATTTTGTGGGGCTTGACATTTTGTCGCAATATGACCATCTTGTCCACATTTGTAACAGAAATAATCATCTTTTGTTCTGGTTGACTTTCGGCTAAATGATGATGAAGTGGACTGTGATGGTTTTGGCCGTTGTTCTGTAACCTCTAGTGAGCCCTGAGAAGGACTGACACTCATAACTGCCAACTGTTGTTGTAAGTACTGAACTTGTTTCTTTAACTCTTGAAATTCTACATCTTCTGTTTTTTCCATCTGGTTAGGTTTCTCTCTGGATTTAACCACCAAAGAAGAAGTAGAAACAGTTTTGGGCATGACTCCACATAAGTGTGCACGCAGCTCTTGAATCTCTCCTTTGAGTTCTTGAATGACAGATGTGCTTGTGGTTTCATCACAATACTGTATGGATTTGGCTTTAGCTGACATTCTGTGGCGAGAAGCTTCACTCTCTTCTGCCTCACGTATCTCCTTCAGCAGACTCAGGAAAGAAGGTGGGCATGCTGTACGTTCTCGAAGCCTCAACTGTAGCAACATGAGATCAGAATTCACTGCCCCTCGAATGAGTTGTTCTACTCGCACTTTATCGGCCATTCCGAAAGACAGGCCATTTCTTTCCACCACTTTTTTTAGAGCTTTGTCCATTCTCCTCAGAAACTCTGATAATGCCTCCCCTGCATTTTGACGCATAAGTCGAAACTTAAAATACAGATCTTCACCAGACTCTGAAGATCCAAAAGAACTCTCTAATGCTTCCACATACTCTAAAGCACCTGCTTCTGGATTTGAGAAACGAACAGCTCTCACTATTTCCATTGCTGGTCCTTTAAGGCTTTCCATGATTCTGCGTCGTTTTTCTTTTTCAGTACAGTCACACTCAGTTATCATGAGCCTTGCTTGATCTATCCAGTTATCCATGTTTTCCTCTCCAATTGGGGTTGGAACAATGGCTGAAAATGTCCGAAGTCGTCGGTATGCATTTCCATCACTTGTTGGCTTTATGGTCTTTTCCAGTACTTCACCCATTGCACGTATAATTGATTCAGGAGAACTATCACCAGCACTGTGGGGTGTAATTAAAGCTTTTACATCACTAAAAGTTTTCCCTTCCTCCATCAAGAACTTTGTCAGCTTTTCAGAGAATCCTTCAGCATCTGTATTAGAGTCACTTTCACTTGGTTGAATCACGATAACTGACCAGGGCTCACTCTTTTCCCCCCTTGTCACTTCAGGAGGAATACGGGTGGAGTCAGTGGCTTGTCGGCACTCACATAGAACCATCATAGACTGAGCAGTAGGTCCTTCTCTTGTGTCCCTCACTCGAACCCTTCCCAGAGCTTTGACAGTTTCCATTACATCTTCAATCTCTGCCACTTCTGTGTAAACAGGTACATTTAGCAGGATTAAAGCATGAGTAGAATCAATACTGGCTGCTTCACACCATTTTGTTAACTCTGCTTGAAGACTGGGGTCCTTTCTCAAATCCATAGCGACAGTTTATGAACTTTTGAATAGAAGACAGTAGGTGCTTGGATTCAGATAATTTAACTTGTCTCTTCTTTCTTTATGAACTTATCATTGATGTATCAGAGGGAGATCCCGGACGAGCCCCCACTTTATGTAGCGCCACCTAGGTGTATTAAGTTTAAGATAGCGCTCCAGGTTCAATACACTAAACGCCTACAGATATGTTGAAGTAGGCTCCTCTGATATATTTCAATGACGTAATGTAAATAAGGCAGATGAGAATATAAATATTTGCTGTGTTTGAATAAATTACCAGAAATAAACTCTGTGAATAATAAAACTCTTAGATAAATCAGAAAATATAAATAATTTAATTAGAATAGAAATGTAAAAATTGGGAAAAACCCCAGATGTAAAACAAAATACAAAATATAGAATTTATGCACAGCTAAAAGACAATAAAATGACCCAAAGTCAAACCCAGCAATTTACAGTACAATGAAGAATATTAATTAAACCAATATAGAAAAATACCACCTTTCTACACTCTAACAATTAAACTTATAAATCAACAAGTGACTAAGAGTGACTGAATATGTTTCTCTTTGAAAGTGGCTACAATTGTGTCACTAAATTACACACTGAATTAAACCTATATAAACTATTAGTATAAATCTATACTGTAAAACACGCAGCAGTATTTTATGCTCACTGCATCTCCATAAACAACTCAATACTCTGTGGGCCCACACACTCACACATTCATACACCCCCGTTGCAGGCCTGTATCGCTGCTAGTGTACGTTGTGGCCGGGAAAATGAAAATGGCCTCTTCACTCTCCTGAGCACAAATAAAATTAAACAAGATACCTCAGATGAAGATGACCTTGATCCAGATGACAGCAAACCAGTTGACAGCGATCCAGATGACAGCAATCCAAATGACAGCGATCCAGATGACAGCAATATATGACAGTTCTCCAAACTGACAACACTTGTGAACAACGGGCCAACGAGCCGCGATCGATCGGCGAACTTCTGCCGCGGGTCTTTCAAATCCTCACTTTCACTTTTTCTCCCCAGCTGATGAGAGGCAAATCTCACGTAGTATTCAGGCTATTTGAGGTGCTATTTGCTCCTCTTTGACTCTTTCATCCTTGTTTCATACTAATCTAACAGTCTCTTTTTTCTCCTCCTTATTTTCGGTTTAACCGTCTCTCTCTCAGTTCAGCTTTAGTCCTCCGTAACTGTCAGTTGACAATCTAGGCATTTAAAAAATGCTCACTCACTCTGAACTGACTAATAACCGACACTGGAAACGTATATGATGAAAACACACCGCGAACTTAAAACAAACACAAAACAAACTCAAAGTAATCAAAAACGTGTTGTTCACACGCAATATACATTACTATCTCTTGTTTTTATACTTCGTGAATGTTACGCAATCATAACAGCCGCGACGCGAGTCTCCCCTTCAGTTTCCAAAAACTGCCGGCTGTGTCTCCTCTCTACGCTCCCTCTTCCCAACAGCCAATCACATTTCACACTCCACCCCAGAGGGCGGGACTACACGCATATAAACCAATCATGTAGGAACACCTACCAAACTTGTTAACCCCATGTATTTCAGTGAAGGTTGATCAAACTTGCTATCTTATCATATTCTCAGAGATAGACGCTCATATATTACACATCAACATTAGGATGTATATACACAAATGAATGCAAAACACATTTTAGATTTAATTCTGTTCTAGAACCAATATGAATAAATAAATAAATAACCTTAAGATTACTTTAAAACTTAACTTGTAGAACTTCATTCTACTGGGTTACATATATATATATATATATATATATATATATATATATATATATATATATATATATATATACATACACACACACACACACACACACACATACATTTATATACACACATACATATATATACACATATACATATGCATTTATAAATACACCCATGCATGCATATATTTCAAAAAAATGTTTGTTTATATTGTTATAAAATATGTATGACAAATAATGTATACATTTAAATTATATTTTAATCTATGTAATAATCTATATAATAAAATTGTTTTGTATAGTTTCTATAAAGTGCTCAGCATATATGAGTACACCCCTCACAAATCTATCTTTTAAATTCATGTTTTAATAGTAAGCTATAAAATATTATATTTGAGCATATACATTAGATTAGTCAGTAATAAGGCCAAATCTAGAGCTTATCTAACAAAATAACTTACAATAACGGTCAAAAACTAGTAAAGCCAAATTTATATGCTGTAGAAAAATAATACAAATAAAAAAGAAAGAAAGGACAAAAAAAAGAGAAATTTTGTAGGTTGTACTTTTTTTCTATATTTTTCATGAATTTAATTGTATTGTCTTTCTATTTCTAAAGATGCTCTGTGACTAAAAATAATATTTTTAGTCACAATATTATATTTAGTTATAATATATCACTGAGGAATTAATACAAATATTCATTTTCAAAATGGATTGTACTCAATTATGCTGAGCATTGTATGCGTGTGTATCAGATATGCATAATAAATATTTAAGACACACACATGTCAAAACAAACTCTTTTTATGAATGTGATTGAATTGTAATTAATCTTTGCCTAGCACTACTTTTAATCCTAGAAAGATCTATGAAAGGGTATTGATTCTAGCTGTGTCTTATTTCAGAGGCTGCATCCTCCGAAGGATGCATTCGAAGTGCCCTGCGTCATTGAGGCGCGACGAAGGCTGTCTCATTTCAAAAAAATTCGAAGGCTCCTTTAAACGCAGCCTCAAAATGCATTCTTCGTTTCCCAGGTAATGAAGGACACAATTGGTGGATCCTTCACGGCCTCAAACGTCCCAAGATTCATTGCGTGCTGATAACAGCAGGACGCTCTTCAAAGAAAACTCTGGTTTAAATGTATGAATTAAATGTATTTTAATTGGAGATCTATACACATGTTAAAAACAAAGAGTATGACATGTCTTACTAAATAGTGATTTTATAGACAGTTCACATTTTTCTGTGTACATGTATGGATCAAAGGAAATATATTTCCAGGATCTGTAAACCTCGCTTTGCCTTCAGATCGCTTAAAATAAGTTTTAAAAGCATTTTGAAAAAAGTCATTACAAATTTTATTACTGCTTTTTAACAGCAGCTGTTAAGGTTGCCTAGTGACGCGATTGGTCTTCTGTAGGCTAGATAGTCTCATACATGTGTGGACTTTGAAGAACTCACCTATGCCTCTGAATTGAGACACAGCTTATGTTAGAACTGCGATTTGTTGTTTGTTTGTTTTTGTTTTGTTTTTTTTAGATTTTTGGCGAATTCCGCCAAGTTAAAGAAAAATTGCATTGTATTACTAATAAATTGCATTCAAAAATATTAAGCTATTTTTTTTATGGAATGGGGTAAATGTTTGTCAGAACAAAATAGCTACAGTTATAACCCTAATAGAAAGCATTAAAATGTCATCAATGTTTATATAACAGAATTATTTCCCTGTTGTCTTCATGTTTTGCGTGATAAGACTATTACAAAAATCATAAATAAAACAAAGAACATAAATATGTCATTATATGTTCAGTGTTAGATTTTAACACATTTAAACATTTTCTTTTTAAATAACTAATTTTGTCTTTGCCATGATAACAGTACATAATATTTTACAAGCTTTTTGCAAGATACTGGTAATGATCTTGAAGTGCAATTTTCAAGGCTTAACTGGGTTAATTAAGTTAATAAGGCAAGTCATTGAACAACAGTGGTTTGTTCTGCTCTAAATATTGACCTTAACAGTTTTTTAGGGTATAAATAAAATACTCTAAAAAACTGTGCTTGATGCTTGGCCACCCCAGTGCTAAATCATTTTAAATGCATTCTCACTTTGTAAAACAGATCAAAATATCAAGCCCAGCAATTCTTAAACTGCATGGACATGGTAAAAAGAGAGTGCTTGGCGAGGCAGATTTACAAACATAAACAAAACACAGCAGAGCAGGAACAAAGTGGTTAAACATGTCTGTCATTTACATTTACTAGGAAAAACAATGGAGAAAAGTAGATATCATTTTTTTTTACATTTCTATGGTTTCATTTATTTAAAACAAAATAAAAACCTGTTTATTTATTTATTTATTTATTTATTTTAAATGTTAGTTAGTTAGCTAATTAGTTACCTAGTTAGTTAGAAAACGTATGGACTTCTGCTTGTTTGGCTAGACAATTCTGATGACATCACTCTGCACTTTAGCTTCTGATAAGATTTTCTGTCCAATCAAATGAACTGTATAGATGAATGGAGAGCTCCATTAAATCCACCATCTGCTCACCTACATGTATGTGTAACAGTGATCAGCAAACAGAATAAACTGAAGCTCAACCACACCTGCTTGATAAAAGTGATACAAGTGCTGGAGTCATACAAGTGATACTCTTTGGTTCTCAAGCGTAAAGCAAACATGCTTGAACTTGTGTGGCCAAAATAGAATGGCATAAACATTATTTGATGAATTAACAGAGACTTTCATTCACATTCACAAAATGTAATGCTGTACATCATGTAACATGATAACAAGTCCACTAAAGAGTTAAAGGAAAATGTGTTTCATGTATGAACATTTTTGGCTAAAAGACTTTTAGTAGAGACACGAAAACATCTTGGATTTCTTTAAATATCTTCATTTGCTTTCCAAAGGTGGAGGATTTGTGAATCTGATGCTGCGTTTAGTGATGAAATCAGAGATGGGAAAATCTAAATTGACTTGTATTTTTGTTTTTTATACACCTTTATTTTGACTGCATTTATTGTGAACATATTTTGAAGAAACACACCATACTTTATCATTTAAAACCTGATGTTTTTAGCCTAAAAAATCAGGTCAATATTTATTTATAAACTGCATAGATATTCACATTAGATGTTGCCTATGCTATTGTTGTCTATTGGAAAGAATGAATAAATAGAGCTGCCATTTTAGTACAGGGTAGCGCTCCTTTGAAATGAATGTGAGACCAAGTTGCAATGGAGGACTGGCCATCTGGAGCCATAGATATATAGACATATATCTATGATCAGGAATTTTGCTGCAGGTCAGTATACAATTTTATTTTTAAATCACAAAGATTTTACATCACTTTTTTATAGCGATGGATAAGTGACAGCATGGGCATTGGCGGCAAAGAGCATGTGTTTATGTGCATGGAAATGTATTATCCACCCTCCCTGTTAAATTTTATCTAATCCATGTCCTGAAACACCACTCTCCCGCTTTTATTTCTCATTTTAACGAAGGGGGCAATTCATTTGTGAATGAATTATGAATGTTATGAATGATTCACGTGTACCATCGATATCCCTGCATCTCAATGTGCATATCCACCTTTATTATCTAGATGGTATATAACATTTCTAATATACAATAATTAAAGGTAGACAGTATGCACATTGAGGCGCAGGCACTGTTGTGTTATCAGGCGCCCTTATAAGTTACTTCAAATACTAGCCATTACTTCACTTAGCCGACAATAATACCAGTTTCTGGCACTGCAGGGTTTGTTGTCATATTTCCTTTAAATTGTTGGTTGATTTTATTCAACAAAACTAGCATAAGTCTAGAATTTATTGCAAGTTGGTGATACTTTGTCTCATGGTCAGGGCAGTAATCATCATCAATAACTTACAAAATCGTAAAAACTCAATCTTACCTATGTAATTTTATGCCTCTATGCTGCTTTTTGGTTTGCTCATTACTACACCTGTATACAACGCATAAGTCCAGCATCTTCAGATTGGCTTTAGTCTTGACTAGTGAGGTTGAATGACTTTTGTTTTTGAAGCACAGTACAAATGTGGCAGCGGTATTGATGCATACTCAGGGTCCGTATGCGATAGTGTATATGTCTATATGATAAACTGATGTACCAAAGTTCTGTTCAAGCATGCATCATTTAAAGCAAAAGACAATACAACAGACATAAGACTTTCATATAGTGTTAAAAAGCAAAGAGTACAAATGAGTTTTAAGACTAGATTTAAAAACAGAAAGGGTTTTGGCCTGCATAACGCCCCATTCACACGAGGGTTCTTGACTGAAGGTGTTTTTGCAGTTGGGGCTGACGCAATCGTCATAGCAGCGTCAGCCAATGAAATTCAGTCAGCAATAGCCCACGGTCTAGCTGGTGTATTTGCATACAGCGATCTGATTGGCTGAATCTTCCGTCTGCGCTTGAAAAGTTGAGCTAGTCCCAACTTCTGCAGAGAGCAACGCCTCTGAAGTGGCGCCGACAGATCCACAATGCAGTTCGGCAATGCCTGACGTCACCCATTCAAAGTGAATGGGAAGCGTTGACGTTGTAACATGGAGGGGGAAATTACTTAAAAAATTTGGGACAACACAAAACTGCAAAAGCACAGACCCCCTTGGTTTTAAACCGTGTGCATGGAACAGCCAACAGTCACTGATCAGCACATCTTGATGGAGTGTACAAACTCGTTCTCTTGAAATAAATGCCATTTTGTTCGATATTTAATCTAATGCAATGATTCAGACTTTAAAAGTAGTTGAGGTACTTTTACAGACTTCTATATTCTCATCAAAAGCACAAAAAAAGCTTTATATAATGAGCAAACTTATATCAGTAAAGGAGTGTGAATCCTTATAAATAAGCCTGGCTTCTAAAGGTGATTTTCTCTCACAGTTATGAATAATCCACACCAGGGCTTTGTGTGAGTGCGTGTGTGTGTGTGTGTGTGTGTGTGCGCGTAGTGATGCATGTTTGAGGGGAGTTTGAGGTTGTAAGGAAATAAATTATTCTCATGACTTGCTGCAAGTACTGATTCCCACCTTCCTCCCACATGACAGTGCCAGGAACGCCAGGATTCCTTCTCCTCCATAGGTTTTCCAGAGCCCAGCTGTCAGCGGGGAATCTCAATAACAAGCACAGCAGATGCTGCGCAGACAGAAGCAGCAGGGCGAGTGATTCACTGCTTCTGGGGTTAATATAAGATGTGTAGGTTCGGTCTTCAAAGACGAAAAGCTGAAAAAAAAGAGATCACAGGGGTCAAGGTTAGAAAGACTGCAAAAATATGAGAGGGAAATGTAAAGGGAGGAAAGAAAGTTATTAATAATGAAAGAATCCAAGGCAAACAGAGCAAAGGCATTTTATGATCAATAAAGCAGATATTGACATTGCACAGAGGACTTGTTTATAAAAGTGAACGAATAAAAAAATAATAGCTGAGGGGTTTAAAGGGGCACTTTGTTGTATCTGTATGCTTTATTACATTAAATACTGTATATAATTTCCAAATCTGATTTTGTTACATGACAAAATTTTTGTCGTAGATCCCAGTTGTAAGAGCAACAAATAATAACTTGACCTCTATTTGATCATTTGAAAAAGTGGCATTTTTTCTGATGAATCATCTGTTGAACTGCATCCCAATCATCACAATTACTGCAGAAGACTTATTGGAACCCGCATGGACCCAAGATTCTTACAGAATTTAGTCAAGTTTGGTAAAGGAAAAATCATGGTTTGGGGTTACATTCAGTATGGGGGCGTGCGAGAGATCTGCAGAGTGGATGGCAACATCAACAGCCTGAAGTATTAAGACATTTGTGCTGCCAATTACAATACAAACCACTGGACAGGGCAAATTCTTCTGCAGGATAGTGCTCCTTCTCATACTTCAGCCTTCACATCAAAGATCCTGAAGCAAAAAAAGGTCAAGGTGCTCCAGGATTGGCTAGCCCAGTCACCACAGATAAACATTATTGAGCATGTCTTGTGTAAGATGAAGTAGGAGGCATTGAAGATGAATCCAAAGAGTTTTGATGAACTCTGGGAGTCCTGCAAGAAAAAACCTTCACATTTCCCAGAAGCTTAGATGCATCCGGCAGGTAGCGTCAGAAAGCCGTGTGTGTTATTCCTGTCACAAAATGCAGTGAAAATCCTACAAGATGGTAAGTTTGATTGTAGTGCTAACATGTTTACACTCGGAGTAATAGTTAGTTCGATACGAACTAACTTTGCCATCTGAATAAACAAACAAAGACCATTGGTCGCTCACTTATCAAATCTGTAGAGACTGGAAAATTAACAGCAACTAGAGCCGCATCTTTATTAAGAGGAGACAAGCAGCAAATCCAGATCTCACTATTTCCAGATGAGAAAAGCTCTCGGGTAAAAAAAAAAGGTCCTTAGACACGTATTGATGTCGAGCGTCGCGTGCACTGTAATCCACACGTGAGTCCAGCTGCGCTCTCATAGAGAGAAAATAAAAACAAAACCTTCACTGCAGCACATTTTAAAAACAACACTGCACGCTTGTTTTGGCAACACAACGTGTCGTCTCTCTGCCGTCTGAACACTGTATCAGGTACAAACAGTCTTCAAAGCTATCATGCATATTAATAAAGTTGCACAGCATACACAATAGAGCGCACTGATTGGTTTAAACCAAGTCTTACTCATGCATTAATGTAATTAGTGCAATCACCTGTAATTAGTTCATGAGATCGTCCAGATTGGCGAGGACCAATCGAGTCACGAAATGTGATTATCGGTCGATACCGATCTTCGCTCGATTTATCAGAGCATCCCTAACTGCCATTGCTTTTTTTTTTTTTTATTTTACAGACTTATTTCTCTACATGTTATTTTTTATACATTTATATTACTTAAAACTACTAAAATGTCAATAAAAGTCACTTTGTTAAACTGTAGAGTTGAATTTTCAACATCAAAAGTCGACAGAGCAACATCCAGTGCAATTCACAACAAAAAATGAACAGAAAACACTTGTGTATCACAAAGTAACAGATATCTTTTACAGTGTACTGTGTGTACCGCAAACTCTAAACACAATATAAAGTTGCCACAAAACTACTCAATGTGTAATGTGTACTATAGTTTGGTTTTGATTGGCTCTGCATTTCGAGGTTATTCATATTTGTCCAATCATTTCTTAGATTAAGGCATGCGTATCCAACTGATTAGCTTTACAGTACAGTCTTTTCAGAATAATGCATAGTTTTATTATGTATTCATCTATTTTAAGGACATTTTACTCGACTCATTTCTAAAATCTGAAGTCTGATAAAGTTGGGATTTTTGTTTAAAAAATTTTTTAATTGACCATCAAGTTGTTCCAAACATTTGCTTTCTTTTTTCACAAAATAAGATATTTTGAAGAATGTTCAAATTCCACAGTAGTGGAACAAAAATACTATGGAAGTAAATAGCTACCAGGCAAAATTCCTCAAAATGTCTTCTTAAGTGTTCCACAAAAGAAACTCAAATATTGTATAAATGGTAGTTAAGTAAATGAGTAAATAAATTTATTTAAATTTTAGTGAACAACTCTTTTAAATTCTAATGCCGACTACTATTTTTCACACAAATGCTAAGTAACAGATCGTTTAAAAGCATATTCCTAAACACTTTAAGAAGACAAAAATACTCTTTGGCTATCACTGAATAAAAGAGGTGCTGTTGACTCCCATACGTTGACCTTGTGTCACTTCACTGTAAGAGTTTCCAAGGAAGCAGCTGTGCTATTCCAGACAATCTGGTCTTGTTTGTGTGTTGCACTTGTGATCTGATGTTGTAATTACATACTGTTTTCTCCAGGGGGCGACGAGTCATTTCTTTAAAAAAAAAAAATGAAATCTGAGCCATAGACCTTCAAGCCTTTTGTGAGAATCCCATGGAAAACAAGAGATCAGGATGCGATGTTCCTCAGAATGAAAACAATGGAGATAAAATTTGATAAGGCAGAAATCTCCACCTTTCTTAAACACATTCCTAATATGCAGAAGAACTATCTTACTGCCTCTGTAATTTCAGTGCATGTTGAACTGCTATTTGTTAATTAAGGAAATGTTCCAAAGGTACCATATTATTTACTACTGCATAAGTCTGGCACTACAAGCACACACACGTCTATGAACTGCTTTGCAGTTAGAACATCTGAAATGGATTTGTGCCAAAATTCATACTTGTATGCTGTGATAAAAGGTTATGTAATCACTCAGAGCATGTAAAATAAACCCAAAGTAGAGGTCAGAGGTTAAGGGGACCACGAACAGACGCTTTTCAGCTCTCAGAAATTCCTGTTTCCATTGCCATCACCCTCCAAAGGAAAAAGAGGGGAAGATGACATAATGGAGACATGTACAACAATACAAGCAGGAAACTGGAGCAATTAAGACATTGTGTTTGAGTGTACAGGAGGCAAACACCCAAGAAAATAAGGAGAAGTAGTTAGATGGAGTTCTGTTTTATGCTTTTTACAATTTTGCCATGTTCACAATTTCTTTTAAGATTTGATGCTTTCATACTGAAAGTGACAACGTGTTATTGTTCACTCTGTTTCCCTGCATAGTGAAACTCAAACGCAGAGTTTTCCAGTTGCGCTGTTGAGTTTCGCCATGCTCCTGCTACAGCTGCAGGCAGGAAAAATGACTCCACTCACAAGCCTTGAGAACTGTTTGTGTGACATTTTTTTCCAGAATAAACTTAGTACGGCTACAACTCTGCAAAGAGCTCCTACAAAATAAACACAGGCAAACACATTCTTGCACATGTCTAGCCAAATAAAAAACTTGCTTAGCAAATCTTTGTTCAAAGGGACAAACACAAACCTTTGTTCTATCTTCCTTTCTGTATCTTTAACTGCCCCAACTTTATTTCTCTGGCAGAGATGAGCTCATTCTTCAAACATGACTCTTAATATACTATTGCTCTTTTCAATATAAACAGAACAAACCCTGGACAGCCAGAAAGAGGGAGAGGGTTAGGGGGAGGTACTACATGTGGAGAGAGTTGCTCATGTTCCACCGTATACACACCCACATAGTCGCACTTGACACATGCAAACACATAACTCCCTCACCAATGGGCCGGGTTAGCTGCCATGGCAACCAAGCTCCACCCTCATAGGGTGTGGATGGGCTTTTTAAGCTGTGGGGAAGCCTCTGCGCAGCTCTTCCAATTGCACCAGAGAGGGAGGGAGAGACGGGAAAGAGTCAGAGTGTGGCTAACTTCAAAAAAGGGGTGGGAACGCTGAACCTGGAAGCTGAAAAGTTCTTCCCAAGCCTGTAAACAAGAAGTTGTTAGAACGTGAAGGAGTGAAAATCAACTGGACGAGAAACTCGACACAGCAAGACCAGATCACTTAAAAGGTGAAGAGCTAAACTGTTTTCCTAAATAAAGTTAGACAAGACCAAATAAGACAGCTTCAGAATGGGAGAAGATGCAGTGCAGGCAGAGAGGAGTAGCATGGTGAGCACGCATGAGAACCAGGAGCTGGTGGTGCCAAGCCCCAGCCCTACTCAGTCTTCACCCACCCATAGCCTCTCACAGCTGGGCACTGGTGCTACCAACGCTTCCGCCGGAGAACCCAGCAGTCCTGGACCTTTGGCTGGAGGCACCACAGGCACTCTCCCCAGAGATGGAGCTTCGCCCACAGGTCAAGTGAATGCCATCACTGTCCTGACGCTTCTAGATAAGCTGGTGAACATGCTGGATACAGTGCAAGAGAACCAGCATAAGATGGAGGTGAGACAGGTTGAGATAGAGGGGGCAGTGAGGGGCATCCAGAACGACATGACCAAGCTCTCCAAGAGTCACACTTCCACCTCCAACACGGTCAGCAAACTCCTGGAGAAGAGCCGCAAAGTCAGTGTCCACATGAAGGAGGTCAAGGACAAGATGGATAGGCAGGCCGTCCAGGTGAAGAAATTGGAAGCCAACCACGCTCACCTGATCAAGAGGAACAACTTCAAAGTGCTCATCTTCCAGGTAAACGCCCAGTGTGTGGTGTTCTGGTTTCAGTGACTTACAAGGACAGGCATGGGTGTAACCTAGATATTTCAACATTTAGGTGATTTATAAAGACATGCCTTATGTCCTTAACACATAAAAATGATACTTAATGGGGTCAAAATTTGCCACAAGTTTCCTGTAAGGGTTGGGTTTAGAGGTAGGGGAGGGGTAGGGCCTTATAATAAGATGTTTTTACAGTATAAAACATATTATGCCTATAGAGAGTCCTTGTAAACTAGCAATAACAACGTGTGTGTGGTAGTGGAGGGAGGCTGAGGGGCACTAAGCAATGGGTATTGTGATCTGCTGAGGTGAGGACTCTGAATGATTGCATTGTGTGTGTGTGTTCACTGCTGCGTGTCGATGCGCACTGAACCAAGTTTACCTGTCTCCAACTCTGTTAACAATAAGGAACATTACCGTCTTACACAGATAAGTAGAAATGCCATTAGACTTAATTATCTCAAAGAATGGATCACAAGACTCCCTAAGGGTGGGTCCATTTATGAAGCATGGTAGAAGGGTCAGAGTTCAGAGTTTAAAGACGAATGCAATGCCTATGAGGTGGCTGTGATGTCACTTAAGGTCATTTGGGGTGTGGCAGTATGGAAGCAAGAATTACATGGTTGCCTATTATCTCTAATGACTATTCCTTTGGGGGTTTTCAGGGACTGCCAAACCTAGTCCCACCAATGCCTTTATTTGTGAACATCCTGCAAGGAGAACTCCATGGAAGTCCTTGCAAATTCAGTACTCAGAAGTATTAACCTCTTGAACGCCCAGCTAGAATTTCAGCCACAGCTCTATTTCAGAGAAAAAGAAGCAACAGGAGCTCAAAACTAAGAGAGAGCTAGAGAGCTCCAGAGAGATTCAATAGGGGAGGCTTGTTTTGAAGCTTTGCCAAAAGCTATTATTTAAAGCACAATAGCCTTGAATAGAAGGTGTGTCCAGAGATCAGCTACAGTGCAGTGTAATGTGTATCCTGTTGTCAGAACCATGCTGAAATGTGCTATGCTACACTGGCTAGTTGCTGTTTACTGCAAGACCTGCAATCAAGCGAATGACTCAGTGATTCCAAACTCGGCGAGAGCGCTTCCATTTCCCCCTTTCTTTTCGCAGCTGTGTGGTTACACATGATGTAGAGACCGAGGGATAGCCTAGTAAAATCCATTTTCAGAAGGTCATCTTTCCATGTCTGTGTGAAGATCATGTTTAAACTAAGATGGAAGGTAAATTTTCTTTGATGAACTAGTGCCCTCAACTTTGACACAACAGTGAGTGCACTCTTTCTGAGAACACTTTCTGCAGTTGCCCTCACAGACAGACTGCTGTTTGTTAAAGCAGGCCAAAAATGTTGTGTATGTTGCTATGGCACCTACGTCATTTATTTTCACAGAAAACCAATTGCAGAATATGATAGCCTTCCCCCTTTGTCCCAATTATTTCAGCCTTGTTACTTGGAGGATTTGATTTGCACTTTCATTTTCTAAGCATCTGCAAAGCAGCCCAGACATGTCTGGTCAGGGTTTAAGGGGAATGTGCTTAATCCAGCAAAGGGGTTCTTGTGGTCTTCAGGTCTGTCCTATGTCTAGGGTGGGACTGCAATGGACATGCAGGCAAACACGTCATGATTTTGCCAAGTGCAATGCGATCCTGGATTAACATCTATGTTGATCCTGGAACATCATTATTGTTTAAAATTGAAATCTATACCTATTCCCTACCCCTAAACCCAACCAGAACTGTAAACTATTCCTAAAATCAGAGGGGAATATTATTAAAAATATATTAATACTCTAGTTCCAGACACTTAAGCGTTTTTTTTTTCTGTTTAATTTAGATCGGCTATGAAGCGCGCGTTTGTATCATCAATATTTAGGAGTGCTGGTGAAACGGATATAAAAAACACGCTATGGAGAGTTAACTTGATTAAAAATAACAACATTATTGCTTTAGAGTTTAAATTTTAAAATGCAAAAAACATATTAAGTACTCGTATTAATACAGCTGTTCTGTGTCGGTTAAATCAGTTGACTGTTGAAATTCTAAATTTAACCACAATTAATTATTAACATTATTAATAAATAACCCAATAAAGATGAAAACTAACCCAACAAAGCACCAACTATTTTTAATTCAACGATTGGGTTAAATAAATAACTAAACATTTTTTAGTGTATCGTTGTTGTGTTACCAGAGCAACTATAGAATAACCAAAACAGATTTATTCAAGTACTCTACCATTGTAAGGCTCAACAAAACATTTTCATGTGGGCTTACTTGCCATCAGACATGCCTGACCCCGACAAACATTCTCAGATAATCTCTGGCTTATTTAATCTTCCTTCTTCATAAAACTGCCTTCCGCTGTCCCCTGGGGTTGTCTGGATTATTTCTTGGGAACGATAGGATCTGAGCAGACTCCGAAAATCCTCAGATCATTAAACAGACACGACTTTAGCAAGGAGAATCCTTTTTAAGTCAGCTCTCCCAAATCAAGAGTCCACTACTAAAATACTGAGACAAAGACTTGAGGCCAGAAAATGTTGTGGTATCCTAAGTCCACAAAAGGTCTCTTTGTCTTTTGACATTCTCAGTTTTATTTCCTCATCTCCATAGCTACATTCAGGTGTTCACCACACCCTCTCTGCCTGCGTTTTCCACTTTTATCTTCCTCTGCTGCTTCCAGATTGGGGTGTTTGGCTCCCCCCAGGCAGACTACAGGCAGGAGAGAAAGAGAGAGAGAGAACAATGTTCTTGCATAAGCAGAAACTCTGGCTCAAACCCTCACATTCCAGAAGTGGAGTGAGTCTCTCCCACTTTCAAAATGATATAAATAGGCCAGTAACTGCGATCAATTAAGAGTGCCAGAGACATGAAGCAAGACACTGGTCACCATAAAAGAGAAAAGAGCGACAGAGCTTGTTAGCTTATAATCAGACTTCCTGGATTAAGCCAAACATCATTCCATTTGCGATTCGTGAGCATGATGCAACTTCTCAATGAACACATTTAACTAATTCTCCCTGTGTTTCTCAAAACTTAGCATATGGGTTGAGTTATAGTTGCAAACATATCCAAGTTCTCATTGCTATCAGTTCACAATGCTTCGATTTTCTTCATACTGGGAGCCAGATCTGGAATAGGAAAGCACAAGATGGAATATTTTTACAACTAGCCCTTCACTATCACCTAATAAGGCTATCTGTGCCTCTCCAGAGAGAGAGAGGGAAAGAGAAGGGGGTGAAAAGTGTGAGTGCAAGAAAGCCTGTAGGCAGAGAGAAGGGAGACAAGAGTGTTTGTTTTCCATTGTCCATCAAAAAGACATTATCACTATTCAAACCAAGCTTACTTGCAGTTCTGGTGTACAGTGGGTAAAAGATGTAAATGAGACCAAATAAGAAAAGGGCTTGATTGCAATATAGTTATGCAGGAAAGAAGTCTTAAGTCAGAAGAATAATTCAGTATCATTTCTCTCATGATTTCACTAAGTGGTTTTATAATAGGGGGTTTTCCATTTACGTCTAAAATAACAACTGTAGTAAACATGATTTGGCTTTTGGTTTTAATCTACCACACTAGGCTAAATCTGACATGTCAGGATGTAGAGGTTTCAAATAAGTCACTAGATAAAAATATTTGGGGTCTGAGTTTACACGTTTAATGCTGTCAAGTTATGTTCCCACCAACCTTATTTTAACTGAAGGAAAATAACTTACTGAGCATCTACAACATAGCAGTTATGAGATATTTCCAATGTGCAAATTACACAAATTCATCTCACTGCATACTTGTATTTATCTAACGGAAATTTTAAAGGAACCCTCCACTTATTTGAAAATATTTTGCTGTTGTACCATGGCTGCAGCAGATGCAATGACATTAAGCATAGACTGAATAATGGCTGACTTTCATCAAAATATCTAACGTAACCACCTGGAGACATCTGTGAGAGACAATTCAGAACATTTTTACTTTGGTGCAGATCCTGAAGTGTATCTACAGTTGAAGTCAGATTTATTAGCCCCCCTTTAAAATTTTTTTTAAACTTTTTTAAATATTTCCCAAATTATGTTTAACAGAGCGAGGAAATTTTCACAGTATGTCTATATTTGTTTTACTACGGCTAGAATAAAAGCAGTTTTTAATAATAAAAAAAACAGGTCAAAATTAATAGCCCCTTTAAGCAATATTTTTTTCGGTCTACAGAACAAATCATCGTTATACAATAACTTGCCTAATTACCCTAACCTGCCTAATTAACCTAGTTAAGCCTTTAAATGTCACTTTAAGCTGTATAGAAGTGTCTTGAAAAATATCAAGTCAAATATTATTTACTGCCATCATGGCAAAGATAAAATAAATCAGTTTTTAGAAATAAGTTAATAAAATTATGTTTAGAAATGTGTTGAAGAAATCTTCTTACCGTTAAAGAGAAATTGGGGAAAATATAAACAGGGGGGCTAATTGTTCAGGGCGGCTAATAATTCTGACTTTATCTGTATATGAACTGGAATACACAGAAGTTGTAATATATTTGCCCCTACTCCAGCCATGGTATGGCAGCAAAGTTTCCTGAATGAGAGTATAGTTCCTATTAGGGCAGCACAATATATAATTTCAGCATCGACAACGCAATGATGACATCGCAGGATCTGCAATGCTGAGTTGATATTATAGTTTCCCAGGTATCGCAATTGCAAAGTGTAAACATGATAAGAGTAAAAAAGTATCACTTGCATGTATTTTTAAGTAGTGTGTTTGAGTGAGCATATCAGGAAAGTTTAAAGCATTTATGCACAAGAAATATTACAGTTAGTAACTTTAATAAAGGTTAAATGTATAGAACTATTAATGAAATAAAATTATTCAGTGCTGTTTATTAATTAATTCATAAACTATTAAGACTTCAGAGAAAATTGTCACTTGTATTCACTTGTATCTTTGATCCATTGTATTCATCAATGCTTGAAAAG